CATCATTGCCTTGCCTTTATCCCATTATTTGTGGTCGGCGCAGTATGTCATTCTCTTCCACTGCTCTCTATCGGTCGTCATATCTAAACTATGTTTGTCGCAGTATTTTCGTAATATTTTAAAGATCATTAATAAAGTTATTTTTTTAGTAGAATCCCCGTAATAATTATCTTCAGTTCTCCATCAAATTGTCTCAGTCATATCAAAGTTATAATGGCGTACATTTCAATGATTCATTGTTATATCTGCAGGTACAGAATGGCGTAGAAAAGTTATAGACAACTATAAATTAAAAAAACATATTTGAATAAAGAACAATACTATAGGCCACAGGCAATTCACTATTTGAATATAGAACAATGTTGATATTAGTAGATCTTAGAACACAATATTTTCAAATAAAACGTATATAATAAGTTTTGGATACTACGCTCGGTACAGTTTCATATAAAAATATTAAATTGAAATGATGTACGTTTCCAATTAATATTTTTTATATGAAACTGTGTTCACTTTCATCTAGAATAACTTTTCTACACTGCGAACGGTTACATAGTTTCCATTTAGTTTTTTAAAGCCAGTCGGATTCACTAGGCCACGATGTTGCCATTGGTAATATTTAATAATTACAATATTTATCTATAGCAAAGTAATGAAAGTGTCTATCATGCGTATCCATTAATAATGAAAATAATGCTAAATAACCGCAGAGTGACGATAAATATCTCCGAAAATGCCTAGGTAAACAATGGACGGCCAGTCCAGAGACCGCTCGGTACACTTTTGTTGGTATCCATTATAAAGCGGGCTGGTGTTAATTATTACATTAATCAAGCGATAAACAGCGGTGAGGGCTAACTCGCAGTACCATGCCACTTGGTACCTATAATTTAGACCCTAAAGAACTAATATTTTAACCACAAATATTACACATTTTAACCGACTCTGAAATATAATAAAACTAATTCGAATTTCGAATTGAGGGTATATAAAAACTAATTCGAATATATCAAAGTCACAGTTGAATCATATTTTTCAATGAATAGAATGAATCGTACCCGCTACAATTAGTAGTAAGGCGATGCGCTAAACCGCTAGACCACGGATCTCCTCATATAATCTTTCGTGTACTTGATATAGATCAGTTACATTACATTTTTTTATATGTAGATATAGATAGGGACTGCATCTATATATACATATAGCTATATCTAGCTGATTGTAGCATTAAAAATAGAACTCTAACAATATACATCAGAGTGCATTGCCAGTAATTATGTTGATGTCTGTACATACTATGAAATGAAATAGCTTCCGCTGTCTGGTCACTTAGATCTATTAAACTACGTACAATTCGTTATTGTAATGCAGTTTTTAATAATAATAATCTCAGGACAATTCACACAGCGCCATCTAAACCCAAGTTATGCTAGCTAAAACTTGTTATGGGTACAAGATGATTGATACAAATTCAATAGATATTTTTTTCCGTACATACATAAATATTATATGTAGAAAACTCTCAGGCCGATACAATCAATCATACTCATGAATACAAATGTAGGTGCCGTGCGAGGAATCGAACCTGCAACCATGGGAAGTAAGGTGGTACGTACCCGCTAAACCACCTCCAAAGTTTTTAGCAGTAGACAGAGTGATTCAAGAAGAACGTTTATATGTATAATACATTCGTGCCAAGCCGGGGCGAGTTATCTATAAATCGATAATGGGAGCAAATCGCCGAGTGCAAAGAGGAAAACACCGGGACCCAGTGATCCATAACGGCCACGACCCATTGTGGCAACACAATGAATAAACCTCGTAATTAAGATAATACACACACAAATGTGACTGGACTTTTATATGGTATTTGTTTTGGGTTTGTTCTTTACCAACTATATTCCTGTTGCTTAGTGTGAATAAAGACGAAGGTATTTTAATTCAATTTAACTTGTAATTTATTATCAGTGTTTGCTGAATCTTTGTCAGCTTTTTTATTAATGGCAACTCGTGGTCTAATCTTACTAAACTTGAAATAAAATGCAATAAAACAAAAACAAAATCATATTAAAATTACAAGCGTTTATAACACCATATTATATGTAAATTAACTCTTAAAATATATAATACAATATTTTAAATATTCATTTATAGATCATTAGTTTAACAATATTATGTTATCTGTGGTTTAACTATGTAATATTATCTTATCTGTGGTTGAACCCAGCTAAAACTCAAAATCAACTTGACTGTTTTTTTTTGTGGATGATAATGGAATAGTGCACCCGCCTGCGCTAACGGATTACGCTGGTGGGGCACCAGTGAAGGATGATAAGATGAACATGAGGTCAGTTCAGTTAGCCCATCGTGATAAATTCACCAGGAATTTAACACGATAAACCACCAGGGGGAACCGCGTGGAGGTCGACCTGACATGGTACATTGCTAGCAATGGGGTTATCAATCCACATTACTAACAATCCCCTTACCCCCCACTTGACTGTTTTGTTAGCACTAAGGATAACACGGTATCTATTTTCCTCTCTTATCTCTACAAGGCTGATTAAAATAGCTAATAATTAGGGACAGAAAATTTTTATATTATCTAAGTAGTATATAATTTTTATATGCCTTAGGTATGATAGAATACACCGCGATTCTTCCCTTCTACGTCACGTCCGTTTACAATTTGTATTCATAATGCCACCATTCAAGTCGTTAATAAAAACTTTTGGCGTTTCAGAGAGAAATACAGAGCAGGGCTGCCAACTGTAAGCAATAAGATGTGTCAAACGCCTACTGAACCTAAATAGGCAAAACTTTAAAATAATGATAAGGACAATAATGGGCCACTGTCCTTTAAACAAGCACCTGTACGCAATAGGTGCTACAGACAGTCCTCTTTGTCGTGGCTGCTTTCAAGTCAGAGAAACGGACGCTCACGTAATCCTGGAGTGCTTGCAGTGGCCACACAGCGAACATAAAACCTCGGAACGGTGAGGTCGCTCCGTGAAGCCTGTGAAGACACCAGAATACTTCTGCGCTTCTGGAGGAGCTTGGCTGGCTACTTTAGTAGTCTTGCCTCTACACGTACAACGGACCACATGAGAGGTTGATTACAAGATTTTTTATCTTTGTTAGGAGGATATCTCCATCCTCATACAAGTTCATACGATCTATGAAAATCCCCAAAATGCAATGTCGTACGAAATTAGAGAACCAAACTGACCTAACATAGGTACAATATTTGAAATGATTTTTTGTTGATTCTTTTAAGGTTGGCAACCCTGTTTCAGAGGGAGATATTGGGCCCGCTATTTGGCGATGACGCCTCATAAAGCAGTAATGCTGATGGGCTCGATGAAGTTTTAAATGTTACGTCAACACAGACTTGAAAAAGGAAGAGGTTACTCGATTGTTTTTTGTTTATGGTCTATAGTATGATAATATTTTATAAATGTAATTTTTGTTCGCACTAGAAAAACACTTGATATTTAAAAATCTTGATCAAGTATAACTTGATAAATAGACAATAAGTACTAGATGTGCCCGCGACTTCGCGTAAATTGTCGATACTTCCATGTAACTTTTAATCTCCCCTTTGAAACCCTTACAACCCTTTTTTCGGATTAAAAAGTAAGGCTACTTTCTCAGATTCTAGACTATATGTGAGCCAAATTCCATTTAAATCTGTTCAGCAGTTTTGGCGTGAAAGCGAGACAGACAGACAGACTTTCGCATTTATAATATTAGTATGTAATATTATATTATCTGTGATATTAGTAAGGAGTAAGGATGTACTACATTCCCCTCTGATCGATCCCCCATCCAATTTAAAGGGGGATCGAAATTACAACGGCCTGAGCTGAGGTCCAAACCTATAGCGGTGCTCTCAGACTAAAGTCGTATCCGTCAGGCAGGAGTTGGCCTTCAGCCGCTCCATAAGTCCTGCGTGTTTGGAGTGCCATCTATACTCGCCCTCTATCTTCCGGTGAAACTGAAAAGACCAGCTGCAGCCAACAGCATTAGAGTACCTAGTCCTAAAAAAGTCAGTAATATAATACAGCTGAAGATATTATATGCCAACAGCATCAATACACATTAAAAAAAAAAACAAATAACATACTGGAGCTACTAATACTAAGAAAGGATCTGCAAGTCTTTGAAAAAAGTAAGTTTATATTTAAAACTACGTAAGTGGCCGTTTCTTCGGTTTCAAAGCAGCTCGACAAAGAGGACTGTCTATCTATAGGACCTATTGTGTTCGTTTTGTTTAAGGGCCAGTGGACCATTATTGTCCCTATTATTATTTTAAGGTGTTTTTATTCAAATTTAGTAGACGTTTTGTGTATCGTTGGTTTACTATTGGAATTGTCTATCTCAGATTTGTTCACTTTTTTAATGGGTGTATGTCGAATGATGTGTTCTCCTGCGATATCTGTATACGCTGGCGGGGACCAGTGGATGTTAGAATCTGCTTGATGTCAGTTCAGTTACGAATTCACTAAGATTTTTTTATAACAGATGTTAATGGAATGGTACCCTGCGCTATCGGTTTACACAAGCGGGGCGCCACTGGAGGGCGATAAGACAAACATGAAGTCAGGTCAGTTAGCCCATCGTGACAGTCATTAGAAATTTATCACCATGCTTTCTAGGGGTAACCGCGTGGAGGTCAACCTGACATGGTAGATTGCCTTATTACTAGGAATTCTCTTTCCGCCTCACCAGGAATTGATAACGATGATTTCCAGTGTATACCGCGTGGAAGTCGAACTGACATGGTGTATTGTTAGCAAATATATAGAAATATAACATCCGAACTACGAACTTGATAACTGTACCTAAATGAAAAAACTCAAATTAAAACAAGTGCCAACTAAATCGACAGCATCAATTGTACCCTTGAATTATTAATGTCAATATTAACAATACAACATCCATTTACAATAACAACTGATAACGAGACTCGCATTCAATTCATAAAGCAATAGTTTGTGCCGCGCCTGCGCCGGGTCGAGACGTCTTTAAAAAAGAAATACAAAATGGCGGCGCGTACAATTATAAATACACAGTGTTTGTTCACATTCTCAAGACGTGCATACAGCTCGAAAGGCGACAAGAATGTCGCTTTCCTCGGCCTTGGGAACATGGGTGGTTATATGGCGGCGAATTTAGTCAAAAAGGTATATATTATTTTTACGAAATGTTTCCCCGAGTTTGGCGGAGTTGTCAACAACAAAATAAAATTAGTTGAATATTTGTTATCGAAACTAAAGACGACGGAGTTTATTTTTGTTTGTAATCTATAAAATAAATAAATAGGTAGGTAATTAATCGATTTTAAAAATTGTTTCACAGTTTAGTTAGTCATAGACAATCTATTAATTAAAAATAAAATAGACATTCCTATAATAAATGCACTCGGTCGAAGATGTTTACAAGTTGTTCTTACGCTCTTACTAAACTGGTTTCTCTGTATGACGATTTGTATATTTTGATATTAACAAGAGTGAGACGACACGATGTTTTTGTCCCAACATTGCAATGACCTCTCATACTGCATACGGTCAATTGCGTTAACGCACAGTCGGGAATAGGTTCAGTACAAGAATGTATAGGAAAATGTTAGTGTTTAGGCATATCATTATTATATATATGCTATACACGTATAAGCTCGGCTTGTTCTATATTTTTTTATTCAGGGTTTTGGACCGTCGTCAGGGCACCTGTAGCACTGCGATCTGCATAGATCTATAGTGCTCGCCCTTTTTCAAAGTTCGCTACCTAGAAATAAGAACTGGAGGATATACTTAGGAGCGATGGTTTTTATCTTATCTGTTATATACTATAACATGCATGTATTATACATATAAACCTTCCTCTTGAGTCACTCTATCTATTGCTGAAAATTGCATTAAAATCCGTTGCGTAATTCGAAAGTTATATGTAAGCGAACAGACCGCGGCGACAACTTTGTTTTATATTAGACTAGATAAAAATATAAGCATTCTTTTATTAGTAATTATTTAAAAAGTAAAAATATAATAGTAAGGTACATAATTTTTATTAACATATATATTTAGAGAATAAATGAAATCAAAAAATATTTATTCATATAGGATCTTAGAGTCCTTATAAGGACAGGCAAAGATAAGCATATTTCTATCGACCTTAATATTAATATTAGTACTAATTTAGTACTGGTACCTAAAGTACCTAATTCTGTATAGGTAAAAATAACTAAGTAGATACATAATGATATATGTACTTTATTTTTATTTCTTTCAAAATTTAAGTACTTTTGTTTCAAACTAAAGTACATGCCAGTCCCATTGTACCCTAAAACTAATTTCCTCAACAGTAAGAAAATTGCCTTACCCGCATATGACTTCCTAATTTAGATAGCTAATACTGTTATTCTACAATAATAAAAAGTTTGTTATCAAGATTATTAGAGAAAAAATAACGTCAAACACTTTGTATTAAATAAATATTGTATTGTAGGTAGTGAAACAGTCTCAAGTTACCAACTTGATGAATAATAATTATATGTGGGCGTATTATTTAAAGTTACGTAAATTAATTAGCATTAAATTAACTAGTTCTAAAGTGAATAGTACCTACAATAAAGCTGTAAATACATTTCCCGCCAAAATACTTTAAACCATAGACAATGAAACTTGCACAGCTGTGGTTTTACACGTAATTGTAAAGAGAACTATCTACAATAAAGCAACTAGCTATAGATATATTTTGCGCCAAAATACTTAAATAAAACCATAGACAATGAAACTTGCACAGCTGTGGTTTTACACGTAATTGTAAAGAGAACTGTCTACAATAAAGCAACTAGCTATAGATATATTTCGCGCCAAAATACTTTAAACCATAGACAAAGAAACTTGCGCAGTTACAGTTTAGTAAGTTGTATAATATTTTTTTCTACGCATGTCATGTGGTATTAAAAATTTTAAAATAATTAGTTATTTCCTATGCCATAACAGATTTACCTAACAAAAATAAACCCAATTTAAGGTTTATTTACTCTAATGTACTGGTACTAATGAGGGTACCTAGTTAATTTCACCAATGCAATTTTTCCAAAATTTTCTCTGATAGGATCTTTCAAATTTGAAACATTGAAAAAGGGAAGATTTATGAATAATCTACAACAATTTTACAGTAGTTTCATTTATAGCCTATGTGTTACTTTGATGTATAGCTTATACAGACATAGGCTATAAATTAAATGCTAGTGATCTGGTTAAGTTTTTTTTATACTACGATGGTGGCAGACAGCATACGGCCCATCTGATGGTAAATGGTTACCGTAGCTTATGGACGCCTGAAACACCAGAGGTGTCAATTGCGCGTGGCCGATCTTGAAATATTATATAAACCCTAAAGTAATATAACAACATACCATAGAGAATGAATATGATGAAGAAGGGAGGTCTTTATCTGTGAATGGTATAAATAACAATTATTACGTTATCTGCAGTCAAATAAACATCGTAAAAACCGTGTTATCTTATTTCAACTTGTAAATGCATGATATCATATAACACTCTGAATACTTAAATATAATGTAGGTACATACATGAAAATACGAAAGTGCAAACAAATACAAATACAGTGCATAAATACGAAAAATATAATAAGCTGGGAATAACTGTTTTTTTTTTAAACCACGTATGTGGCATTTGATGGTAAATGGAAACTTAAAATTGTAATAACATAGTCGCCGAAGTAAAAAGGTTACCTTTGAATAAAGTGGTCTATTTGGGTATAAACTTCTGTCCTACTTATTTCTGTCGCCAAATATCAAATCAAATCAAAATATATAGGTCTATTACAGACTCTTATGATATGTCAAATCTACCGTCAGTTCGGAATTATTTAGAGATGAGAAGAACTGACAAAAAACTCAGATCGTATTCTTTTCAATTATTTTTAACAAAAATACAGATTCCATTTTAAAATCTAGATCTTATCTTGCTTTATACTCTGTGTTTTGGGCAGAAGTCAGAACTGAAAATGATATAGGATGAATGCTAATCTTGAGATATATGAACGTACCTATGTGGAGTTTTTTCCTGTATAATAACGGTATACTCCACCGGGGTATCTGTGAAGGATGATGATCATACTCATCCTGAGTATGAGGTCAGATCAGTTAGCCCACCGTGATTCATTAGAAATTAACCACAACGGCTTCCAGATGGCACCCCGTGAAAATCCACTAGATTCCCGTGCATACTCATCCTGAGTATGAGGTCCCATAGTGATTCGTTAGAAATTAACCACAACGGCTTCCAGATGGCACCCCGTGAAAATCCACTAGATTCCCGTGCATACTCATCCTGAATATGAGGTCCCATAGTGATTCATTAGAAATTAAACACAACGGCTTCCAGATGGCACCCCGTGAAAATCCACTAGATTCCCGTGCATACTCATCCTGAGTATGAGGTCCCATAGTGATTCGTTAGAAATTAACCACAACGGCTTCCAGGGGGCACCCCGTGAAAATCTCCCGTGAATAGAGTTAGAGAGACATTGGTAGCCCTCGGGACTACATTATTAAAAATCCCCTTTTTCTCCACATATGTGGGGTATGTGTGAGTATGTGGAGTATGGGCATCACACGAGCATGTGGTGGTCCTATTCACGTTACCGGTTTCAATGGAAATTTCACCTAATGAGGTGAGCTGATTATTTAGGATTTCCATCATGATAAAAAAATCGTCTTCCGATGTTCTTGGATGAAACAAACATTTTTTCTTTTGTCACATATATCTATTTCGCTGTTTGTTACTTTACTACGACTTCATTATCATTACATCATAGTATAAAACAAAGTCTCCGTCGCTGTCTGTCCCCATGTATGCTTAAATCTTTAAAACTACGCAACGGATTTTGAAGCGTTTTTTTTAAATACATATAGTCATTCAAGAGGAAGGTTTATATATATAATACGTACACCGTGCAAAGCCGGGGTGAGTAGTTAGTAGTATTATATTATAAGGCATAATGAAATAGAATATAGCTCAATATTTTCAAAGGGCGGGAATGGAATTGTTAGTAATGTATTGTAGAATAATTGTTGCTAGCAATGTATGGTACAATGCTCAGTCAGATTGACTTCATGGGCTTCCTCTTGGAAACCATCGTGATAGATTCCTGGTGTATTTGCTACAATAGGCTAACTGACCTAACTTCGTCCTCATCCTATCAGAGCAGGCATATTCATCCATCAAAAAATTTAAGCTGATTTTAACTTTATTGAATATAACAAAAAAAATCTTGAAAATGTTACATATATTTTTAATTGTCTAATCATATATAGTTACGAGTGTTATTACGCATAGTGCTCACTATGGATGTAATCTAACGATAAAATGAATCGATCGAATGTACTGACTTGTGACCCGGATCGTAACTGTTCCAATGTTACTATATACAATGTACATTATCTATGAACTGTTATTTTTTTTTAATATTCTAATGCTGTTGGCCGCAGCTAGCCTTTACAGCTTCACGGAACGAGTGCAGATGTCACTCTGAACCCGCGGACTTATGGAGCAGCTGAAGGTCAACTCTGCCTGCCTTTAGTCTCCGGGCACCACTAGAGGTTCCAACTTCGATCCCCGTTTCGGGGCTGATTGGAGGGGACAATGTAATGTTAACTAGATCTCACCTATTTCAGCAGTCCAGCTGCTTTGTAAGCTGTTTCGGTTGTAGGGCGATCAGGCAGTGATCGATATTTTAGTCCTCGGAAATGACAATGCATAACATTGCCATGCCAACAATAATAGCTCTTATTATTGGCATATAAATTTCGTAAATAAGAACAGATATGAACTTTAAAGTCTATTTTTAAAAAAAACATTATTTAAAAAATTTATAAGTTTTTTTTGACAACGTTTTTACACATCATTAAATCTGCTACGATGGCAAAATTTTCTATTTTTTTTATGGATGTGGTATGGTGCATACGCCTACGCTGGTGGGATGATAGGATGAGTATAATGTCAGGTTAGCCATTCCTTCGTGGTCACTTCAACAGGAGGGACCACGTGGAGGTGAACTTGACACGACATTGCTAGCAAATGGGTCACTAACTCCCATTACTAACAATCCCCTCCTCCAATCCTTTACTGGTGTCTTGCTAGCTGTACTGTTTGTCTTCCTAATTATCGACTCTCACACTCACCACTATTCTCACTCGCCATTCACGGCTTAATGGCCGCATGACACCAGCAGTGTGCGCTAGAGACGACAATACTTCTCTTTCACACATATACAAAAATATTACATCGGGCATACCCGACATTGACCTTTGGAACTGCAACATTGTGTAGCCATACATCCACACATACAGATGTCTCCTTGATTGAGCACGATAATAGATTCGCTGTTTCCATTCCACTTGACCTGCACTTCGCATTAAAAATAGATTAATCATTGAAATGTATAAATTAATCAGTAATATCACTGATGTTTTTGTACTAATTTTGTATTGTTTTCCCTTCATGTCATTATTTGGAGTCTGCGCAGTACATTTTTGTAAGAAGGAATATTTCATCCGCCTTCGCTAAAAGTTTACACTGGTAGGGCACTAGTGGTGGATGATAAGACGAGCATGAGGTCAGGTTAATTAGTTCATCATGACAAATTCGCTAGGAATTTATCATGATGGTATCCAGGGGGAATCGCGTAGAGTACCAAAACATAGTACATTGATAGCAATGGGGTCACTAGTCCACATTACTAACTTTTCCCTTTCACCCCAACCGACGCACTAAAACAAAAGTAAATATTTTTTGTTGGGAATGTGGACTGTATGTTGATGGTAAATATTGTAAACACTTCTTCTGGACAACGTATGGTAGGCGAATCGTGGACTAAACCAGAGAGAGAACAAATCAATGGTATACCCCGTGGCACTTGTGTATTACCATAGAGTCAAACTTTAAAATATTTATTGGTTGCTGGAATTTTGAAATTTCCCAACATAGATGTATAATTCACTGTCGAATTATACCCCTAGACCCAAGGTTCGCCTTGTAGTCTATACTATATTTTTTTCATTAAGTTTTTTTTTTTATTTTATTTTATTTACAATATAGAAGAATCAACCTTTTGATGTTTGGCATCCGCTTGAAAATACATTGAGTTGTTTTTAAGATTATCGAATAAACAGACACGGCGTCGTATTTTGTTGTACATGTATATAGAAATAGGTACAATTTGTTAACAGAGAATATTTCTTTCTATTCAAATTCTTACTTAAGTTTTGAGAAAGCGGCGACTTGGAAAAATCGCCCTAAAAGCGGATTACAAGGTAATTACCCACGAAACGTGAAATCAAAGATTTATTTAGGCCAAAAATTGCAGAGTGGACCCATTCAAAGTAACGTTTACTGAAATTTAAAATTAAAATCGTTTCAATTCATTCAAAGATTATGGTAAATTATGCAGATGAACATTCCTTCTGAAATATTTTAATTTCGTTCCGAGTAGAAATGAAAACACACTACACTGACTTTTACTTTAGGTTTGTGCCCGAAATTTAAATTTAAAAGCACCATTTTGGCATGGGCGACAGAATTTCACTTGGCGTTTACAAGATGGCGCTATACACACAAAGCAATCTTTACAAATACATTGGTAATAAAAAATGTAATTGCTAAGAACTAGTTCCATCTCGCAGCGTTGCCCGCGCGGAGTAAGTGCGTCCTGAAAATGAAGCCTTTTGTGGGGTAATAAATGTTTAAAATCATAATCAAAAATAAGAATTGTGTGTTTTAAATTTCTTGAATATATTAATTACCAACATACAAAATAAAATTACATTTTTGTTTTTTATAATCTTGGTATAGAAATATACAGATATTAAACTGATATAGAATTGATGCCGGGGGTTGAATGCTTCCTGTGTTGATTCGAGGGCAAACAGGCCCGCACCGATGCCTCAATCTGGACCCTCGTAGGGTTCCGGATGACCCGGTTCATTCATTCCCTCACTGCAGAGTATAAATTTATCCATTTTTTTTTTGTGTAGGTCAGACTTGAACTCACAATATTTTGCTACTCACTTTATCTTACTAGGCTACAACAAAAAATTTAAATAAAATAAAAAATAATAATTTTGTATCCTCAGGCCCTCACAGTACTTCTTCAATATTAGGGCCCGCACTGGTAACTGCAATGAATCTCATGGCAAACATAGCCCTGTGCTTAAAGTTTTGCAGATTTTACAAAATCTAAGAGAAAATACCATTACTAATCCTAAGTGGCTTTAGCACACTTATGCATAAACGAAATATCTTTTTTGGAAAGTAAACACTCTATCCTGAGGAGATAAAAACTATGGCTCCTAAGAATCCTTCAATTCTTGTCCCTGAGGAACCTAGGCAGCGAAGTCTAAAAAAATATTGCATATTGATTGTGGAATAAAAAGTAGAATTCATCACATATAAAATTAGTGTTCTTGTTGCTAAGTAACAGTTATGTCTTACTTGCGACTGTGAAGAAGTCAAGAGTAAATATTTACTGCTGTAAATCCACTGAATATCTCTATTAAGGTCGTAGTGCTACAGGTTCTCTTTAGCAGCCCCCAAACCCTTTAATAAATAAATATATATCCTCAGGGCTTCACAGTACGGGGTTATGATCCTTCAAAAGAAGCACTGACGGCAGCAGCTAAGGATGGCATCACCAGCGCCAACTCCATCGCAGCAGCCGTGGACGGTGTCGATGTGATTGTCTCCATCTTGCCAAGCAACAAAGTGGTGTTAGATGCTTACTTAGGCAATGATGGAATTGTTAAAAATGTAAGTATAATCTATATATTAATACGTGAAGAGAAAATTTTGAACCCTTTTGGACGAAATTTGCGCGGACGGCGAAGTATGAACTTTCGCGGACTTATAATTTATATACAGAAGGAGTGCAGAATGCATTTTTTTTAATTATGCATAAAAATACATTAAGCAATATAAAAATTACATTATCATGTATTAATATCATTGACTGTTAAAGTGTGTGGTCAAATTGAGAATTGATTAACAATATAACCTTGGTCTACTGTGATTATAGAAATATTGTTTTTGACGATAGAAACTTAATAATGTTCAAACTTATAATTGAAATTATTTTTGGTACAGAACAATTCATCTAGTCCTTTTTTGACGGCCTCGGTAATACACATCGCTTTACTTCCGATGGTCGCGGGTTAGATTTCTCGCACGGAACACATATTTGTACTCATGACGGCCTCGGTGGTCTTGCTATACCAGCATACCGCTTTACTTCCGATGGCTGGGGGTTCGATTCCTCGCACGGTACAAATATTTGTATTCACGAGTATGATTATTTGTATTGACTCTAATCTTTTATGCTCAAGTATAAAAACAGTTCCATTGCCTCTTCGTTATCAAAAAAAAAAATAAGCATGTCTTGAGAATTCTCAAATTGCATTATTCCAGGCTCCCAAAGGCGCACTCCTAATAGATTCGAGCACTGTGGATCCGAACGTGCCCAAGCAGATATTCCCTGTAGCTATTGAAACTGGAGTGGGCTTCATTGATGCACCCGTTTCTGGAGGCAAGTAGCATGCTAATTATTTTAACATTTTCCAGTTAAACAAAATAGAATAGAATAGAATAAAAGATCTTTTATCTAAATGAACTTAAATTGAATCAGATTTTAATTGTCTTACATTTTTTTTAATCTATCGCTCATTAGGAAATATGTCTAATCACAAGAAGAACGAGCAAGAAACTTGCGTATTGCTCAATTGTTAATAATTGTTGTAACATTACATTTTTATGTTGAAAAGTGTGGCTACAAACTATCAATTAACACTAATTTATTAGAGTCAAAATATACAATAAGGGCATCGCTAGTGGTTTGTAACTCGTCTCAGGCCGTCGTAATTTCGATACCCGTTTGAATTGGATGGGGGATCAATCGGAGGGGTAAATAATTTACTATATATCGGAGTTACTATGTAAAGTATAATACTCAGTACTGGACAGGAAAATAAGGACAGGAAAATAAGGAAGCATTCAAATTCAAATTCAAAAATCATTTATCATAATTTCAATTTTTCCCTACCGTCCAGTTCGGTATATAGATCCAACTCTAAACAGCTATCCCACCGAGGTCATACGTAAGAATGTATTATAATTAATAGCAATTATTTATCACAAAGTAGACATTAATTATAATGAAACAATCATTATATATTACGTAATGTATGCGATAAAAGCGTATTTTATCATTTAATTTAAGTTCATACGTTCAGATATAAGTTCAGATATATTTATCAATTATATTGCCAGTAGAGATTGTAAGAGGTCATATTGAGTGATGCTGTCTATGTTACTATGTTATTTTTTAAGAACACGTGAGTCTATAGATTATAGATTCACAAGAATATAGTCTATAGAAATAAATACAATTTTAATATCGGTTTGTAATTACAAATTAACAGTTTCGCACTAAATGTATATAAAAGTATATACGGTACTTACATTTTTTTATCTATTTGTCTGTCTGTCTGTTTATTTTTGCTAATCTCCGAAATGGCTGGGCTGATTTTGACGGGATTTTCAGCACCTGATAGCAGATGTTATAAGTAAATTTTACAAAAGTGAAAGTCGCGTTAAAATTCCATTCCGTCAAAAAGTTACTACTTAAGGTTACCTACTTAAATTAAACTACGTGGAAATAAATCGAGATAAATAAAATGTATACCATATAAATATTTATTTTAGTTCCACACGTATGAAGTCGTGGACTATAGCTAGTTATAATTAAGATACTTAATTGATTTATAATTTTTTAAATTATAATAATTGACCTAAAAATAAATCATTCAAAAGAGCAACACGCAAGTTTCTTGCTCGTTCTTCTTGTGCTGATTCTGCGTTCCGAATTAATGGTAGAATTAAAAAAGATGTAAATTCAAAAGTACTTATATTGAGTTTATTTAAATATTTTTTTGTCTATTTCTATTTCTTGTTCTTCTTGTGATGAGTCTGCATTCAGTATGAATGGTAGAATAAAAGAAATGTGACTATTTAAAATTGATTTCTTTTTATATTTCAGGTACCATGGGAGCTCAGAATGCCACTCTAGCTTTCATGGCCGGGGGGCGTAAGTCAGACTTCGACAGATCTCTACCTCTGCTCAAGGCTATGGGGGCGAAGCAGTACCACTGCGGGGAAATCGGATCTGGTCAAGTGGCCAAGTTGACCAACAATATGCTGATGGGCATCACTGGGATGGCCACAGCTGAGTGCATGAACATGGGTATAAAGTGAGTGTCTTAAAGAATATAATATAATAGAAAATTCATTATCCAATTAAAAAAAAATCTACTTCTCTCTCATCTCATTCGAAAAGATCTCTCATCATAAGAAGAACGAGCTAGAAACATGGGATTTATTCAAATAAAAAGAATATTAACTTATTTTTTTATCTACCGCTCTCTCGGAAAGCTGTCTCATCACAAGGAGAACGAGCAAGAAACTTGCGAGTAGCTCTTTTATATAGTCTCTATATTTAGTTGTAACTGCACATTTTTAATTTGAAATGTGCTAATACAAATTGATTTATTATTAAGATAATAAAGACGACCAACTGGTTGAGTAACTAAATAAGAATAAATCAGTCATAATGACCAGAGCAGACTAGTAAAGATACTATAGAGCGTGCATGGCAATAGTTTTCATGTTCGGGATTTTCATTTAATGTTAGACATAGACACCTATATAAATACCTATGCATTGTAAATATACTTGATTTAAAAAAAAAAGAGTAATTCAATTGAGTTTCTTGCCAGTTCTTCTCAATTGGATCTATATACCGAACTGGACGGTAGGGAAAAAAATATAATGTAAAAACTTGACGTTCATAAGCGGCTAAAATGTCCTACATGGATAAATGATTTTTGAATTTGAATTGAATTTAAAGTAGTTGATACTGTAAAGCTATATTAATGTAAAGATTCATTAAAATGCAGCCGTTTTTGCTTGAAAGAGTAACAAAGATTCACATATCCATACATACAAACTTTCGAGTTTATAATATTCGTAAGCATTTACAATGTTCCATTTGATACATGAAATTGCAAAAGAATGACATTCTATTTAAAAAAATGTTTATGATTGGATTTAAAAAGGTAAAATGGCGGGAAAGCAACATTCCGCATCACAGTATTATGGTTGACTTTATTTATAATCAAGTGAGTTCAAAACGTCGTACGATATCATTATCATCATCATCATCGCAGCCCGGAAGACGTCCACTGCTGGACATAGGCCTCCCCAAAGATCTCCACGACGATCGGTCCTGCGCTGCTCGTATCCAATGCCTTCCCGCGATCTTGACCAGATAAAAGGTTTTGCTGGAGGCCTTCCCACGCTGCGTCTTCCGGCCCGTGGTCGCCACTCGAGGACTTTACTGCCCCAACGGCCATCTGTCCTACGAGCTATGTGCCCTGCCCATTGCCACTTCAAAGTCGCAATTCTTCGGGTTATGTCGGTCACTCGTACGATATACGAATGAAAAATCATACTATCGTCGGTTAAATAGAAAAATGGCACTATTCAAAATGTACATTTTTTACAAGACAAACATTTAAAGTTTTTTATATTTATTTAAATTATTATTTTCCTTTAAAGTTTTAACAAAAAATTACACAGAATGTAAAAGTATTTAGATAAGGATTAAGACGGCGTGGTTAATTTAATTAACTCATATAAAACTAGCTGTCCATGCAAACGTTGTTTTGCCATATAAATTAATAACGCTATAAAAAAATAGGGGTTGATGATAGAAGGGTGAAAATTTAGAATAGTATGTATTTTTGTATGTTGTATCATAAAAAAATAGAAACTAAAATTGTGTCTAAAAAATAAAAAATAAAATTAGGGGTGGATTACCCCTATTACCATTTAGGGGATGAAAAATAGATGTTGGCCGATTCTCAGACCTACTCAATACGCTCACAAAATTTTATGAGAATCGGTCAAGCCGTTTAGGAGTATGGGAACGAAAACTGTGACACGAGAATTTTATATATAAGACAATAAGGCAATTCAAGCTTCTAATTTTGAAAAATGTCTTTTTTCTATTTAATCGACGCTATATTTTGTTCATTACGGCAGTTTCGCGCCGTTTTACTTTTTTAAATCAGCGCGCTGCCTATTTTCGCTACGCAGTGACAGTTCGAAATTTGAAAAATAGCAAATACTGTCTTGGAATATAATTTCACTATTTGCGTTTATAAGGCACGCGTGTTTTATGAACCGCTTTATATATCGAAAACCAGTGAAATTAGAAGCATTTTAAGCAAATTACGAGCAAGTTTAAAAAATGTTTTTTTATTAGAATCTATAAAATTGGTAAGTTTAGAATTAGAAGTGTTTCCATTAGTATTCCATTTTTAAATCCTCTCAACCAGTTTACTCGATTTTCTTTAAACTATCGACTACAACTACAACAAAAATTACTTTACAATTTAAAAGGTCTTTACACATTACAACAATATGTACACTATATGTACACGACAACGGTTTCTATAACAAACGGAATAAATTTAATTTTCGTATAACAAATTAGCATTTCACTTCGCTATGAAAAACAAATCGTGTCATTGAGTTAATAAAGTTGACAAAGCTTTGAAAATACTGAGACTCGACCCCGGTTATTGTTAGCGTTGTATATTACTGGATTTTCCAATCATATTTACGTTGAATTATTTAAATTTGGAAATTTTATTCTTTTCCGATACTATTATCAGAAAGTTAAGTGGTTCACCGAAATCCTATATTATATCTTTTAATACGTCAAATTATAATATTTTTGGCGCCATTCTTTTTTCGTTCGAAATTCAATTTTCGAATCTAAACAGGCAGTTCGTATTTACACAGAATAAGAAATAGGAGAAATTGATGAGTTACTGGTGGAGTTTAGTTACAATTAATATAAAATATAGGTTCTGTATAGTTTATTTATTTTATAACCACTATTACGGCTGGCAACGGCAGTGAAATAGGGTAATATAAATAAAATTACTTACCAAACTTATAGATGTATTTAGTGGTAGCGTATATGACACAATGTAGCAATGTACAATAATAAATGTAATATATGTAATATTATGTTATCTGTGGTAATGCGGACGAAGTTGCGCGGATCAATTAGTATAATATATTTACGTAAAGGAACCTTTCAGAATGGGTTTAGATCCTCAAGTACTCCTGGACGTGCTGAACAACTCCTCCGCCCGCTCGTGGTCCACCGAGGTATACTGTCCCGTACCTGGACTGGTCTCGACAGCGCCATCTAGCCGCAACTACGATGGTGGATTCAAGAACGAATTGATGGTCAAGGTATGGGTCTCGATAAGTCAATTGTATGGTAAATTTCCTGCCCACAAGGCTTACATTCAGTTCACCGAAGGTCTTTTTTATTGATGATAATTTACGCTGGAACTACACTAGTGGAGGATGACGGGATGAGCATGAGGTCAGCTCAGTTAGCCCATCCTGACACATTCATTTGGATTTTATCATGATGGTTTCCAGCGGGAACAGTGTGGAGGTCGACATAGTACATTGCTAGGAATGGAGTAATCAGTCCATATAACTGGTCCCCTCCCCCAAGTTTATTGCCACCTGTCAAAGGAGGTGGGGAGCTCTGAGGGCCCCTCTAAACGGGGCCCCCTTCTTTCATTTTTTTTCAGGACTTGGAGCTAGCGAATGGAATGTCCCTCCCATTATTTTTTTATTTTTTTTTCCAGGACCTGGAGCTCGCCAGTGGAATGGCCCTCGGTATCCGGTCACCTATTCCACTCGGTGCAGTCGCGACGCAGCTGTACCGCATCGTACAATCCAGAGGATACGGACAGAAGGACTTCTCGTTTGTGTACCAATTGCTTAAAAATGAGAAAAAGTAGAATAAATCAGTAAATTAGTTATCGTTGTTTGATTTTGATATCTATTAATATACGTATGAGTCTCATAATACAATGAAGCATATCATAGTACGATAATAAATTTATTTGCGATTTAAAGAAAAAAAAATTTGATGGAATCTATTAATATATGAATACGTCACATAATGCAACGAAAAAAAATAAATATAATTTGTAGAGAAGTTTCTATATTCTCGAATTCACGAGTTTCTTAAAATTGGAATATATGGTCAAATTTGAATACAGCTTAGTGAAACAATAATATGATTTTATACATATAAATATGTATAAACCCGCGCCAAGCCGGGGCCAGTAGCTAGTAAGCTATATAACTGTAAAGTTTCATCAAAATCTGTTCAGTAGTTTTTGCGTGAAAGAGTAACAGATATCCATACTTGAAACTTTCGCGTTTATAATATTATTGACTGTGTAAAGAAGGTTGGTTTGATTTATAATGTTTACGGAACCCCAAAATGGTGATATCAATTCACAATTTTCCCATTATACATCGAAACAGCAGCCGCTCCAGCTAAATTGGAGGGAATCTATTCAAATTTGTATAGAACGATATTTTATTTCTATTTTTTACGCTCGCCATCTGTGTGGCGGGAATTCAGTGCCATAACAAGGATGTAATATCTTTTTTATCTATGGTCACACGTGTCTAAAGAGTAGTCTATGAATATATTTTTTTTATGGATAATAATGGAGTACCATTTCATTATCATCCATAAAACCCGCCTACGCTGATTACGCTGGCGGGACACCAGTGAAGGATGATAAGATGAACATGAGGTCAGGTCAGTTAGCCAATCGTGACAAATTTACCAGGAATTTATCGCGATTGTTTCCAGGGGGAACCGCGTGGAGGTCAACCTGACATGGTACATTGCTAGTAATGATATTATGAGTCCACATTACTAACAATCCCCCCCAGTCTATGAATATTGCTTACATACAATATTTATTTAAAAGAACAACACAAGCTTTGCACGTTCTTCTTGTGGTGAGTCTGTATTCCCAATGAGTGGTATATAGAATAAAAAAAAATGTAACAATTTAAAAGTGCTTCTGTTAAGTTTATTAGAATAAAGATTAATTCTAATAGAATGAAGAAAACTAAAACAGAATTCATATTTTTATATCTTTATCATAGACTAGGTGCTATTGGTTGACAAAATTGACAATACTGCAAGCAAAGTCACAGGTAAAAGCAAGTATTAAAAAAGTTGTAAATGTGTCTATCTGTTTGTTATAAAACATATAATTATAAAACTCAACTAGTTAACACATCTTAATGTGTTATGGGTACTAGACAACTTTTATAAATACATAAATTTTTTTGTAAATACATATATGTACATAATATACCTACCTAAAAAACACAATGTACCGTGTGAAGAATCGAACCCGCGACCATCGGTAGTAAAGCGGTGTAATAAACCGCTTGACCACCGAGGCCGTATTTAACTAGAAATTAAAAATATAATTATTGAAAAATTCCATCTTTTATTAAAAAATATTTATTGCATGATTTTTTAATTTTAATTCAAATTTTTACATTATTGCAAAAATTTCAATGCTGCTCCGTGTTCATTGTTAGTAGATTGATGTAGCCTTCTTTGATAAATGGCTATCCAACTATAAAAGCATTTTATATTTAAAATCGAATCTGTAATACTCGAGATTATTCCGAATATCTAAACTCACAAACTTTACTATATATGTATTTAATATTCTCTTGTTACAACGTTAGTTAACATACTCCTACGAAACAGCGTAACCGATTTTTATGACATTTTATATCTACATTCATTAGGTCTGAGAATTGGCTACTATCTATTTTTCATACCCCTGTGTGATAAGGGTGGTCCACCCATAAACATTTTTTCGACATAATATAGTATTTTTATTTTATTACGATTTAGCATTGAAAAATACATACAACCCTAATTTTTTAATAGAGGTTTTAACTTATATGACTAAACATGATTTGCTTGGAAAGCTAGTATTAGTATAGATTATGCACAGATAAGTGGCTATTACATAACATAGATAAAAGCAGCACGGTCACTTTTTTTTTTTTTTTTTTTAATTTATTTAGGTCAACAAACAGTTACACATTATATATATGACTTATGGCTATTTACTACTAAATTTTAACAAATGTGTCACCCACTAGTGGTTAGGGTTAAGTGGTTAGTGGTACGTTAACGACTGATTACTATAATTATAACAAATACTGCCTAAGGCATATTACAGAGATTATATTACTTATTAATTAACTACCACTACCAACTTTTAACAAAACTATTTTATATTAACAATACAAAAAAAAAAAACTAAAAAATTTATGATGAATACACTGTAGATTACAATACTACAAATAATTATTATGTTAGTTACGAAAGATGATATTTACGCCTCAGTTCATTCGTTATTTGGTTTTTGAAAGAAGAAAGTTTACAGGAGAATAAATCTATTTCACTAAAGTCACTATTATAGCTGTTAGATATTCGATTAAGTGGTATGCGCTTACCAGAATTAGTACGACATTTAGTATAAGAGAACAGTTGATGTTTTGTTCTCGATTATTCGTGCGAAAAACTCGATAATAAATTTGCCTTGTTAGAGTATTACAATCAAATTTACCATGCACAAGATCATACAAAAATGTCATGTCCAGTTGAGTGCGTCTACTTTTCAAGTCTAATAAGTTATATTTTGATAACATTAATTTGTATGGAAGTTTATTATGAGAGCATTTGAATTGAACATACCGTAGAAATTTTTTTTGCACCATTTCTATGTTATTATTATACTCATTATAATAAGGATTCCATATAACGGTAGCATATTCCAACTGCGATCTAATTAATGACTTGTATAAATATAAATAAATTTCAGGATTTGAAATTGTTCGTCTCGCGACAAAACCGTACATGCTATATGCCTTGTTTACAATATTTTCAATATGAGTATGAAACTGAAGTTTAGCGTCGAAAGTTAGGTCCTTTATACATTGTACTGTGTCTAATTTATAATGATTATCAAGCATGTAATTATAATTACTCAAGGTACGTTTCTTAGTAAAACTAATAATCTTATATTGAGGTTTAGGCTTAAATGATTAGTATGACAGTAAAAGGTCAGTCTATTAAGATCCTCTTGAAATTTGAGATGATCCTCTGGGCTATCAATAATATGGTACATTTTTAAATCGTCGGCATATAGCAGAAATTTACAATACCTAAAACATTTCCTTATATCATTAATGTATATTACAAAAAGATATAGTTCGATCCTTGTGGTACACCGGAACTAATTGATACTAAATTCGATTCATAACCATTGATAGCTACTTTTTGTGATCTATTGGTGATATATGATTTGAACCACCGCCATAAATTACCACGTATACCGTTGTATGCTATTTTTTAATTTCTTTTATGATCCACCCTATCAAAGGCTTTTTTAAAATCAGTATATATACTGTCTGTCTGTTTCTGGTAGATTATTAAATAAATGTGTTAGTATATGGCTAAATTAGTCAATATACGCTGTACAAAGCCGTGTTGTTCCGGTATTATTTACCATGTAAACATGGATATAATGATTTATGTATTAGTTTTTCTAAAAATATATACAGACAATATGGATATGGGGCGATAATTTTCGACATTATTTTTCGAACCTCCCTTATGTACACAGATTATTCGGGCAGTTTTCCAAATCGCTGGACAAACGCCTTCTTGTAGACATTTATTAAATAATATATTTAACGGTTTATGTATAGAATTCATCGTATATTTTAGAAATATCGGTGATATGATCCCTGAACCCTTTGTTACATCCAAACATTTTAGCTCGTTACGTATATCATCCTCACATAATATGAGATCTCCAATTGATAAATCTCCATCTTCCGACTTTGCATTGTAATTATATATATATATATATTACAAAAACAGATTCAAAATACTTTGAAAATAAATTACAGGCATCAGTGGGATTGCTAGCTATTTCATTATCAAGGAAAACTGTGTCTGGAATATCATTTTTATTTTTATGATTAGATATGTATGTCCAAAAATATTTTATATTGTTTTTCATATTTTTTTCAACATTAACAATATAATCTTTATAACTTTTTTTTATACCGTCTTTAAGTCTCCGTCTATATACTGAAAATAGTTCATAATCCGAATGATTATGATATTTCTTCCATTTTATCCACGCTCTCTTTTTATCATTAAAAACATGAATCAAAGCTGAATTAAACCAAAGTGGAAAACTCGAGTCCTTTACAATTTTTGTTGGAGTATATTTTCGTATAAGTCCATATATAATTTCATAAAAGACTGCTTCTTCAGCATCTTTGTCAGCAAGCAGATCATACCACTTTACATTATTCAATTCCTATTGACAGCGGAATAGTCTGCCTGTTTAAATAAAAATCTAAGATGAGGTTTAGTATATATTTATGTGTATTTGAAATGGCACAAGCATATAAAAAAGGATGATATTCGTCTATAGGCACCAAGGATATAATAGCGCATAACTGGCAGTTATCAATGTTTGTCATAAATAAATCTAAAATCCTATTATCTTTATTTTTAAAATTATTAAATTGATAACAATTCATAAGTCTGTAAAAATTTACTAGGTGCCGATCAATAGAGGTAGACTTATCAGTATACAAAGGGTCCAGTGATGATGACCCCGCTCCACTAGGTGTCCAGTCCAGACTTCTCACGTTATAGTCACCTACCAAGCAGTATCTTTGAATGTTAGACTGTTGAACAACATGTTGTATGTAATTTGTATATGACAAATAAACCTCTGCGTTTTGGTTTGGCGGAATATACACGGCACACACAAAGAAACTCGGACCATTACTCTCGCGCAGTTCAATTATTACATGATCAACAACGGGAGCCGGTAGGCATCGGGGGGGAAGGGGGGGGCGCACTATGTGAGGAACAGCGGCTAGCGAACGGC